ACTAACTTTAAACAATATAAAACTATGATTAAACAAAAGAAAACAAAATATTCGGTATGAATTAGTACTAATTAGCACTATTTATTGTTCACGGGTTTAGTGCGTGCACACTATCATCGATGATAATTTTATTATCCATGATATAATTTGCCAACTGGAGCGTTTATCCGCCAACGGGAGCTGCCTTGATCCCTTGGAACATGTATTAGAATGCAATAACTACGAACAGCTAAACAACAAAATCGTGAAAGTGCACAAGAAAACCATAATATTTTTTATTATTGGTATTTTTCGTCGCTTGGGAAAATAAACCTTCAGAAGACACTAATTCCATAGTTTTCTTTCGTGCTTGTTTGTCTTTTCACTTTCTGTGCATGAATATTCAGGAGATTCAGTAAAATCGTTCTACTGCGGCGCGTGTATGCATAACAATAGATGACTTAAGTGGGTCAAAACCAGACATGAGACAAATGTCCTATACATAAAAGGTCTAATGGTGATAAATAAACAATAGAAAACAAAGGATTCTGTATGAAATAGTACTAATTAGTACTATTTAATGTTCACGGTTTTAGTGCGTGCACTCTAACGTTGATCATAATTAAGAGATATAAAACCTCAAAGATATTTCTGTGTGTTTCGTGGTAGACACTTCATATCCCGCGCGCAAAGAAGTCGCGGTTCACGTCATAGCAGTTCTAGATTTCATCCCGCCTCATGTAATGATCCAAGAATTGCATCCGTACACTCACTCAATCATGTGGTCGATTAATGATCGTAGGAGTTATTCTTTATCTGGGCTTGGCTTCCTTTGACCGATTATAGTTTGGCTTTGCTTCAATAAAATTGTCAAAACAGCATCAAATTATCATGAGATCTTCAATAATTTCATTTATTACGAGTGAAAGGACCCTCAAAAACGTCAAAACTTTTGAATAGTTTATTTTTCATGCTAAACTTTTCGAAAGTCGAATAATAGACTAGAATTTGTTATATTCATATTGCTAAATTTTATCAGTTTTGGCTTCGGTTCAGTGTTGTTAAACTGTGACTAATGGTGCATAAAGTGTCAAGCTGATTTCGGATTTATTAAACAATAGAATTAGACGAAAGGTTATTGAACGGAAATAGACAAAAGATTATTGAACATTTTTTCATATATAATCACAATAAACACTTTTACAAATTAGGTCGAAAGTGAAACCATAGTTAGAAACGAATCAACAAATGACTAATCTGTCAGTTTCGGAAGATTATTTTGTAGAAACATTTTCCTATTATTCTCTTTATGAGCCAGTAAAATGCGAAGACAAGTTTTACGTGAAAGCTTAAGTTTACAAAGTTAACAAAGATGCTCTTTTACTTTTTTGCTCTTTTACTCCGACGAAGGACTAGCGTCCGAAACGTCAGTAAGTTTTTTTTCATCTTTTCACGGTGTAAAATTTACCCTTTTATCATTACTGTTTAATTAGAAACCCCGACGCAGCTCACACTAGTTTTTAGCCAGTTATCTCTTCAAAGTTAACAAAGTCTATAAAGTTTAATAAACGTCACGTTTTCGGAGGGCAGCTCCTTTATCAAACGTGACTGTAGAGATGAAGATCGTTTTAGCAATAGCAAAAAAGAACATTTTAAAAATTTCTATAAATTATTTGAACATCTTTCTATGAATTTCTATGAATCATTTGATTTCCTCTAAATCTTCAGTATCAGTGACTATCATACTTTTGATCAGCGAATACAATAAACTTATACTTAAAAGTTTGGTTACATGACCATCAGGTGAGGACACCCGGTTTGTTTTCTTTCTTTTTTGTTGTTGTTGATGGAGCGAATGAGCGGTAAGAGCTCGAGAGAGAGAGGAACTAGAAGGAAAGAGCTAGAGAGGTTGAGAGAGAGAGCCGAAAGAGAAAACGGAATATAAAGCGGAAAATTTTCTCATCAATTTAATCTCTACCCAAAACGATAAAAATTTTGAGCAACAAATACTGCCATGAAATAAAATCTCATTGATCATAGAACTCTGCTTCGTTTTAGAACAGGAAGTAATTTCTCCATACGATCTGAGCCGTATTAGCATATGACCGGAAATACAACCTAAAGTCCATTGTATTTCCAGTACAAACAGTATAATAAATCATTGCTTTCAATGACTTTATCAAGACGTAGTTTTCCCTTCCCCCTCTCCGCTGCGTTGCCTATTTTGACCACACGATAAAGAAGCCTGTCAATCTCCTGTGCACACTTTGCTATTGCCTTGATAAGTCAAAGACGACCATGAGGACTCTGAGAACGCCGTTAAAACAAACAATCAATATAAATAGAGAACCAGCCAAAAATAAAAATAATCTTGCTGCCTTAACGAGGATTATACAGATTAAGGGTTTTCTTTTTCTTTTTTTATGCAAATGAAAAAGTATATTTAGTACAAGTGAAGGGTTTTCAAGTGACGAAGTAGAGACGTTGTTATCTTTTAAAAGTGAAGTGCTCGGTTGGAAATAACAAATATCAATAACCAATTTTAAGAATGCATTAAAACTATTGTGGGCTAAGCCATTATGAAGCTAAGGACACGGTTGCCAGTCTAGGCATAAGAGGGGTTATTATGTGCTTATTGGCTGGAACTGGCGACTTGTAGACTAATACAGCACAACTTTGCAATGTAATAGGCGGAAGGGGGGAAATATAGAAAAAGAAAAAAGAAACAAAGAAACAAAGAAACAAAGAAACAAAGAAACAAANAAGAGAAGAGAAGAGAAGAGAAGAGAAACCCCAGATCGAAGCGGGCATAAACAATTTTCAGATCAGTTCAGAGTTTTTTATATAGTTCCGAATAAAATTGATCGTCTTGATTTTTGTGCTTTCTAGGACTACTTCTAGCGAACTTATTCCCTCACTTGTACAGGGGCTTGTCAATGCTGTTTATGTTATTTTGGTCTTTGCACTCACGCTTTTGATTTTCGTTTATCCAAAACATACATGGACTAAGTGGTAGGGGGTGGGGGGTAATTGTAGCTATCAGAGATTGAAGTCCTTTAGCAATTGAAAAAGAGGATAAAGAATATACTGCTTATGCGGATTAAAATAAACCAAAATGCCCTCCATAATTACCCAGATAATGGCGGCTAGGAACATCATGTCTAGTGTCCTCAGATTAATTATTTGACATGTCTACTGCTCATGTACCTGCTATTCCTAAACAAAATATTGAAAAATAGAAAAAAATAGGAAAAAATCGGAGAAAAGACCGAAATTATAAATTATGAAGAGTAAAAAAAAATTTCTTGGTAAATATTATGTGTGTTTAAAGGTGCTCCTTCTCCCTTCTGATCGATAAAAAAACGCAGGAGGGGAGGGGTAAGTAGATGTTGGTCATTTAGCTTGTTAACCCATGTAGAGTCTCGCTTTCCATTCTTTAAAAAAAACAAGATTTTTCCTGTCAATATCAGAATGATTTCCTAATTTAGTCAGAGTGACGTCTCAGAGTGATGTCTCCTCTACTCTGCTTTTTCCTTGACTAAGATGCCTGTAGAAAGCCTTCATTAGGTGGCAGAAACAACAAAAGAAAACCCTGACAAAACTGCATTATGGCCTGTAATAATATTCAACATCATTAGACAGCCTTGGCCTGATCAATTTTGGACTGTCTTCCATTCCGGTTTATACGGAAATTACTCACTTCAAATCAAATGAATAGAGTGTAGACTCGCATCGTTCAAAAATAATCCTAGAATATACAATGGATTTAACTTTCGAATCCTTTCTATTCAATCTGATAGGACGAGTCTAATCATTGGTATTAGACATTCAGACACGAGTCAAGATTCATATTTTTGGCATGACTCACTCGGCGTCTAGAATAATAACTATATTGATGTTTATACTGAATTTGTTTTCGTAGCTTCCGCGGTCTGCGGATCATATTCCAAGGAAATTTTAACAATTTTTATAGAACAAAGCTCTAAATCAAGCAACACCGAGTTTTTTTATCCATATTTTGAAAGATATCACGTCATAACAACTTTCCTCCCGAAATATTTCAGAATTCATTCCCAGCATCCCAATATTCGTTTCAAAAATAAATGCATTTTGAATTTGATAAGCAACTCATTTTTGTTCAAAACGACGTCAAAACCACACGAATGAACTCATAAACAAGGAAAATAATGCACTTTTGAAGGGCATGTCTAAATCAATAACAACAGTGAACAACAGAAAACGAACTAAAGAGAAAGAAGGAAGCTTTTTGGATAATTGAATGCTAAATATTTTCAGTCGCACTCTTCCTTTTGCAAATTAATTTCGGAAAGTAAATCTTTATAAAGTTTCAGTCAGTATCGCAGCTGGTTTCAGAATATTCAAAATATTCAGAATATGCTTTAACATCATAAACCGCATATAAATATGAGCCACTCCAAATGTAAAGCACGGGAAATTTTTACGCTGTAGAAATAAAGCTAGTATCACATCTTTTAAAGCTTTTTAAGAGAGGAAAAGATTTTTTTTAGTTTCATTATTTGTAGGTTATTTGTTGTCTTTACTGATCATATTAATCGTGTTGTCTATGCATAGTAAATCGTAAACAGCCCGGAAATTCATATTTATCTCGAGCAAAAATATTTTCGACATTATTTTTTCACAATAAAAAGTTCAAGCGTTTTGATTTTTTCATAAATTAATATTACTCATATGAATTTATTTAAGGATCAATTCAAAGCACTTGTAGGATTAGTTATTTTGTTAAATAGAATCAAACCAGAACCGACTGATCTTTATTTAGCGATGATGAATGTTTTTCCCGCTCATATATTGACATCATATCTCCTACAGGTCACACTGAATAACTAACTGAAGTGGAGTTTCCCAGCTTTTATACTAAGCTAGGCTGTTACTATTTTTGTCACATCCAAATAAGGGTCGAATACCCCAACTAATAATACCAATGGTTAGTTTGACAGCAGTTTTGTGTTTTTATCCAATCAGAAGGCACGATCTTGAAGGAATATCACTGACCTGGCTGAAAGTTCACTGTGCAGCGAAGCGAGAAATGCTCTGCAACGTGCATACCCGAGTACAAAATGTCGACGGTTGTAGATCCACTGCTTTCTACTGTGACTTTAGATATCTTTAAACCAAAAGATACAATCATGGATACTGAAGAACACTTTAGAAAGGTAAGGGTTTGTGTACGAGCAAAGCGTAATTTTTTTCCATTGCGTGATTCATCGCAGTAGTAAAATGCTACTAACGTACGGGATGGAAAATGTACATTTCATTTTTGGGGGTTAAATTTAGCTCATGAAATCGAAAGTGCTAACTCGAATACTGTTTTTCTTTCCGATTTTCTAGCTATGGTTTGATGTTGAGAGCTTTGGCTCGAAGTGGGAGCCTTTGCCTTTGGAAGAGAGCAGTATATTCGACTCTGAGAGTTCTATCGATTCAGACTTGGAATTCAGCTATGGGGACAACTTTCTCTACAGTGTAGATACAATGGAAGAAAAATATAAAGATTCTTCGTTGTTTTGTGATTTTCCTTACGGAGAAATACCGCTCCAGCTGCACATTTCAAACGGAGAGATTTTATCTGCGGCGAACGATCAATCTACGGGAAGCGTCGAATCGAAGAAAAATCGTCCGATGGCAGATGTCGAAATGACAACAATCGTACAGGATTCCCAAGTAGTGGAAAAATCTTCAGAGAGTACTCAAACGGATGAAGAAGTTATAAATGTCACCGTTCCAGAGCCTTCTGTCAAAGCTGAAAGGAGTAGCAAAACTACGATCAGTAAATCCAAGTCTCCTGAATTGAATGCTTCTAATCCCACAGCTAGTGCAAAGTCGAATATTCTCAAAGCAAATAGTACTATCAATACACCGAATGCTAATTCTGCTAAGGAAGTTCCYGGCACGTCACCAAATCAGTCACCAAAAGGGAAGAGAGCATTAGCTAGAACACATAAATGTACTTTCGAAGGATGCAATAAATCTTATACGAAGAGTTCGCATCTAAAAGCTCACCAGAGAACTCATACTGGCGAAAAGCCTTATCAGTGTAATTGGAAAGACTGTTGTTGGAGGTTTGCTCGCTCAGACGAACTCACAAGGCATTATAGAAAACATACTGGAGTTAAACCTTTTAAATGCCCAACATGCGATAGGAGTTTTTCTCGATCTGATCATTTATCTCTGCATATGAAAAGACATTACTAGCTGGATATAATGTTATGATTTAATAAGTTATAAATTGATCGAGGAATGACTGCATTCCCAATTGTAAAAGACAAAATAACACGTCAAAATTCGTAAACGAGCGAGAAATTAGGTTCTAATATGGGAATTCAGAAATATTGATTCTCGAAAAAAATTTAGAAAATAAATATAAGTAATTAGCTTTTTGTATTAAAAATTATTTCAAGGAACTCAATTATTATGCAAAAAGCATGTAAAATTTTGTTGTATAGGATCAAGTTATTGAATCAAGAGCACTATTCAGTGAATTGCTGTAAATATCTTTATTTTGTCCTGCGTGGGCAAAATTGTTATTCCAAATAAAAAAAGAAATCCAAGAAATGTCTGAATTGCTTTGTGGATAAATCTTGCTGTCCTCAAGATATAAAGTCAATGATTTTTAGATTGACAAGCAGGGCTCTAGAGGGTTTTCCCATAGCTTGCTGTTAGCCATCTTGAACTCCCAGCACGGAAACCTCTTTCACAGTATGGTTCAGTGAATACGAGGCGTTTTTCGTTTGTCCTTGAATCTTAGACTGTATCTAGAAGTAGATTTTTCCTTACCACAAATTTATATTGTTTTTTACAAACCTGATATTCAAACTTGAACGGTGTTAAAATCTATTCAATTCGAGTATTTAATTTGAATTTAAAATTGTAATTTTCGTAAAGCCGTTCTTGAACAATCTATATCTCTTTTGTCATTCATATAGATAAAATGATCAAGCTTTCTCAACAAGATTTCAATAATATTATGAATTATTTATAAAACCAAGGAAAAACCACATGGAATGAAATGGTACAGGTAATGTGAAAAGTCGGTATAAATAATACAGGCCGTATTTTACATAAATTTATTACAAGAACCGGTTTCTCCGTATTTGGTGAAGATAGTAATAAAGAGGAAAAATAACATGACTCACAGTAGAATTGATTTTTAATTTATTGTCACTTCGTACATGACAGTAGTACTTCACCGGCATTCACCGAACAGCTGACTGCCAGTGATACAAAATTGTACGACTCTAAGTTTGACCAAGTACAAGAAATTCATTTATTACCAATTTGATAATGATAGCTGAAACCTATATTTTCTAGAAATATTTGCTTCCTTTAATGGTCACGAACATTCATGCAAATTTCATGTATCGTCACGGCGTCACACAACGTTTCGTGGCGAGAAGCGTTGTGTGACAACCCTATGAAGGTAGTGCGTAGGAGTCGAGTTGGTTTTTCAGTGCATTTTGGGCCTGTGTTTCCTAAAACAGTCCCAAAATGCACTGTAACATGATAATAATAATAATAATAATAATGAAATCATAATAATAACAACAACAACAACAATAATAATAATAATCGAAACGTTGTTCGTTTCTTATACTTAAATTTGTAATTTGTAATAATAATAATAATCGAAACGTTGTTCGTTTCTTATACTTAAATTTGTAATTTGTAATAATAATAATAATAATGATAATAATAATAATAACACTCATAAAGCGCAAATTAGCATAAAATGTTCATCTGCGCTGTTTACGAAAAGAACATAGGCAAAATAAAATAATAGTAACAATACGCTAGTTAAAGGTTATCCTGTAAAAGCAAGTTCTTAAATGTTCTTTAAGAGTGGGCAGTGAAGTAATATTTCTGATAGTAGCAGGCAAATAATTCATTCTACAGAGGTGGCAAACTTTCTAGCGCCAAGAGATGGGCGAAGTTTCGCTAGAGGTGGTGCTAGTATGAGCTCATTATTAGATCTTAGACTGTAACTAGACTATTTCTTAATAGCAACTAAATCAGATATATAGCTATTTTAAAACGTATTCTCACTGGCAACCAGTGGAGATCAGCGAGGGCAGGAGTAATACGAGTGAAAAAAGCGGAGTCAGAGACACAGCATTCTGGATGCGTTGCATTTTAGCAATTTGATAAGCAGGTAGACCATAATTTAAGCTGTTATTGTAATCTATGCGACAGGTAATGAAGGTATGAACTAGAGTAGTGGAGGACTAAGGAGATAAGAACTTTCTAATTTTCCTAATGTTATAAAGATAATAAAAAGAGGATTTGCATGTGTTAACAATCTGCTTATTTAAAGATAAATTAGTGTCAAAAATAGTTCCAAGATTCCTGACAGAAGATGACGGCTTGACTATAGTTGCCAATCGTAAGCTGCTCAATTGATTGTTTGGACAGTTGTTGACACGTACCAATAATCATAAATTCTGTCTTCCCATCATCCATTCTTAGTTTGCTGCTTTGAATAACTGTTATGCAGTTTGTTATAGTGTCCATAACGTCATTTTGAATGTTCATACATCCTGGCTTGAAAGACTGGTAAAGTTGAGTGTCATCAGCGTAGGCATGAGCTTTAACTGAGTGCTTTTTTAAGGATCCGAAATAGGTCACTGGCATAAATAAGAGAAGAGGTCCTAAACAGGTCCTTGTGGCACGCCGCAGGTGATGTTGAACTTTCGAGATATACGTACATTGATAAAGATACATTCACTTGTAATGCCAATTCAACCCAATCTTTTACTCGACCTATTCCAGCCTCCAATCCCTCTTTGCAAGTGTTATCAGATCATTCAAGCAGGGCTGATTTTTATCCAAAGTTTTAGGAAAAAAGGATTCAACGTTCATCTGAGTAGAGTGACCACAGTAAATCCGTGAAACTTTAGCAATACTAAATAGCACAATTTCATGCAAATTCCATTGTTTTCTATTGTTTAATTAGCACCATTTTGTACTATTTAGTAATTAGTGTTTCACGGATTAATTGTTTCTACTCTATACCCAGAAAAGCTGCAAGGTTGGCCTTGTTGAATAAACCAGTAATTGATTACACTAAAGTTACGGACCGGCACGGTGCAAAGTTGCGCGCAATATGCAGATAATCGATGTTGCCATGTCACACGACGCCATTTATTTGCACACAATGTTGAAGTAGAGAAAGAAAAAGAAGAAAATGATCCTCCTTCAGCAACATTTCACCATTTCAAGGCACGTTAACTAGGGAGGTTTTGGGGGCATGCCTCCCCCTCCCCCCCCCCAAAAAAAGCAAAATTTGCTAGGCTCTCGGAAATGCATTTTGTTTCTTGATTTTGGACTGGTAAACTCAAGACGATTCCATATCATTTGCAGCAAACAGGAACCATAGTTTTATTTTAAGAAAGTTCAGTTTTATATTTAGACATTAATATTTAGGCACTAATGTTCCAATGTTGTCAGTCAGAATCACCAAAGAATTTTCTTTTTATTCAGTCCATCTTTTGCTGTTATTATTATTTAAATATTATCAAGGGTTTAATTAAAATTTCAAGTAGCCAGATGTTTTACCTAATTAAGTGGCTGTGATAAAAAAAAACTAAAAGGCCCATTACAAATTGAGTGCAGTTAAAAAGTTGTAATGAAACATCAGCTTTCAGTAATAACGTAAACAAATATGGTGTTATTCATTGAATATTAGTTTAAGACCACAATTTTTGGATCTATTTATTCATATTCCAGCATACATTTCTTTGCAAATTTTCATTTTTATTCATTTTAAAATTTTGCGAAAACCACTTGCATTGGGAATACTCCAGTTTCGAGTTCTCTTTGCTCAGCCTTGTTCTATGTTGTGTGTTCTAATATTGAGCAGCTATTCAACCAAAACCCGTGGCATTTTAATCTATTCGTATTGTTTCGTAGTACGTACATTCCTTACTACAGCTATTTCAAAAAAGGTTGAATACTGAATACTGCATACTGAATAGTGCATTCCAAGACCAACGGGCATTCTGGGTCTTGTTAATTTGAAATAAAAAGTCAATATACAGCTATCAACTCTCTACATATAGTTATTATATTGTTTCAGATGGAATGCACTAAAAATAGAATAAATAATTATTATTAATCCTACTTTAGACAATATCACTATGACCCACAATGCACTTCGGTCTTGGAATGCACTATTCAGTATGCAGCATTCAGTATTCAACCTTCTTTGAAATAGCTGTACATGTATACAATGGACCTTAATAGAACATGTTTGTACACAATCGATCGAGGCTAAGACTAAGCAAAGGGACTTGACATGGGAGTAGTGAGTGTACTAGTTACCTTCAACGTCGGTGTTATAGCTATGTATAAGCCCGAGGGTCGTAATGCATCTATCTCGAAAAAAAAAGAGGTTAAAATGTAAAAACTAAATTAATTAAACTTTGAATTTCTTCTTATTTGAATTCTAGAAATTAGTTTTAGGGAGGAAATCAATTACAACTAATTGTAATGTTAGCGGAAATGTGCCTGTTTGATGCTTAATTAAATAATTACAATTACGTAATTGTTCTGCAAGCCTATTTTTTGGCACGTAAGAACTTGTTTTGCGTATTTTTTGGAAGCCACAGCAGAGTGCTTGACTCCTTCAATTCGAGATGGAGTCTTCGTCCAACACCTCCTTAAAGTTGAACTCCTCTTTACCGTCTTTTCCGTTACCTGACGAAGAATGCCTTGATAAGACGTTCATGCTTTGCATCACGGTTTTCGTACTTATCACTAGTCTGGCTGGTAACTCTCTGGTCATTAGGTTCGTGTTTCGAAACCTCAAGCAAAGAAAGTCCCCGGACAAGATCTTCCTGCTGCAAATCTCATTCTCGAACCTGTTGGCGTGTTGCGTAAGTCTTCCACTTCATTATTTTGATGTTGTGTTCATCGGTAGAATCCCGCTAAGTCTGAACGTGGCAAATTCTCTCTGCTTTATCAAATTATTTCTCCTTTTCTTTTGCCTTCAAGTCGGGCATGTAACTCTCTCGGTTTTGTGTTACGACCGCTACGAAGCGATCACCAAGTTTCCCCAGCAGAGATTACTGACCTATGGCATTGCTAAACAAGCATCATGCGGAATCATCGTCTGTATATTCGTCATTTATTTCTCTTCCATGATTAGTTACGTCATTGACTTTCACTCTGGTAATACCATTTGTGAGGGTCTTCAAATTCGGTCCATGGGTCAACAAGGCAATGCTGCACATGTTTCGAATATTGCGCTCATTGTTGTGACAGTCATCTTGATCTCCACTGCCAACACCATTTGTTTCTGGAACTTGTTTCTTGTCGATCGAAAACTTCGACATCACAAAGATTCCGTTCGCAGTACTCTTGGTGACCAAAGCATGGTCAAAGAGGTTCGTCTGGTCTATAGTGCTGTGTCGTTTGTTATAACGTATAGTATAGTTTGGATTCCGTTCGGAGTTTTCCGATCACTCAGGAACATTTTCCCTTCATCAACTTCTATTAGGTGTTATTACATCACTGCGTTTACATGCTCGTACATGGTGTTTTCTTTGATCCCTTTACTTTATATTATCACTGACAAACGCATTCAAAACCCAATATCAAAGTTTTCCCGTAAGAATCGCGTTGCACCAGACGAGAACTCGACCAGGGACACAAAAGGACCAAAACTTACAGATGAAAAAGGGACTTAAAAATGACTATGATCTGTTTATCACTCAAAACGTTTCTCTACCGAGGCCTCGTCATGCCCTATATCAATGACGAGATTTTTTTCAGGTATTTCTAATTAAAGCCCATATGATATTTGAAAAATGTAAATTTGTAAGAACACCTTTGGTGGGCGCAAGAAATGCCTCCAACTTGACGAATGTATTCATATAAAATTTCATGATAATGAAATTACATGTGAAAAGCTCAATCTGCCGAACGCGGGGGGGAAACAAGAGAAACAATTAATACAGTCGCTTCTAATTATGAACTTGAAATTAATTGCCAAGCACGAATAAGATTAAAATAATCTATTTAAAAAAATTGTTTGGAAATTTGAGCCTTTTGCAGAACATTTGAAGAAAAGGAGAAGAAATATGATGATTTGAAAGAAGAATCTGACCAAAACACATCAAGTAACTTCCATTAATTTCGAAATTCTTCTGTCGAAAAATTGTACCTTATGAAGGTAGTCTATCGTTTTATCCTTTATCTTTTTTTATCTCATCTCTTCTTTTACCATTCCGGTTCCTTCTGTATCCCGATTTCAATGGATTCATTCTGGCTTAGCACAGCAGAAGTTTTAATCGTAAGCACAGTAAAAATAGAGAAAGTTCTTCAGTGAACGCGGAGCCACTACACAAAGTGTGTATTTGATAAGGATAATAATAATAATAGTAATAATAATAATAATAATAATNNNAATAACAGTAATAATAATGATACTGATAGTAATAATTATAATAATTTTATAATAATAGTAATAATAGGTCGTTATTGCATAAGGTAAAATCACATATCCTATGTTACAATAATAAAGGTAAAAAGGCAAAAAGATTACAAGGAATAAAAAGATATAGAACTAAAAAAATAACTAAATATAATAATGTTTAATACTAGGTATAATAATGCTGGATCGATATTATAAATTATATAATACATACACACTTCTAATTGAAAGCTCAATTATATTTAAAAGTTAGGCGGTTTTCAAAAGGGCTCATAAAACCGCTTCGTGTTTGGTCCCACTGACTCACGCACTCAAAAGGAAATGAATGCCCTTTCTCTTATTTGATATTGTGTTTCGCAACTTTTAATTAACAGGTGTATACGAAAAGTTATGGTATAATTTACCGGAAAATCTTAGAACTGAAAACCTGTCATATTTTCAGTAAGAAATGTTGCAAAGACGGCGTCTTTAATGAAGATAAGGACTTTGTCCACGGTCGACCATGTGTTACTTTGTGTGTTGTAAGTGAGAAGAGTTGTTTGTTGGTTCTCTCCTGTGCTTCGAGGGTTTCCCGGGTTCTCCGGCTTTCCTCCCTCCGCAAAAATTTAATTCCAATTGGAATTACAGTGGATGAAGAGCCACTCTGCGGAAATGCCACTGCTAAACCCTATTCATTTTATTTTCACTTGGAAGTAGTATTGATACAGTGTAAAATTTTATTTATTCATCTCTTTGTCAGTTTTTTTTATACCTATTTAAGTAAAGATGTACGTTATGGGTCGAGTCCTTTCCCTCTGTATCTGTTATTTTACTATGACTTTATTCAATTGTTAACATTTTATTTGACATATTTTTGGTTGGCTAATATCTTTATATGCAGTGATTAAGACGAATTATATTAAATTAGTCGAACATTTATATTTAGTTCTAGCCTTTAACTCAAAAATTGTGATGTATGTAAATTGATCATGCACGGCACGTGACTTGTATAATCGCCCTAATTGGTTTAAAGGCTCATTAATTATTCACGACTTTTTGAAAGTTCAATAAAGAGACGTATCAAACACGACAAAAAATTATTTATTAATTCGGCACACTTTCATCATAAGTTCTCGCAGCGCCTTGACTAGCATAAGGCCTTCAAGTAACTGTTTTGGTTGCTGTAATATTTTTTGTACAGGAGTGGGTTTTATTATCCAGTATCAGCCTATAACCACCAACATGGGAGCTGGTATTTGTCTGCCTTTTTCCATCATTCATGGTGTAAGAGAAACCTCTATTTAGCGGTGGGACACCAGGCAGGGTCCATGGTCCCGAAGGTGACCGCTTAAATACATGCAGGTACAATTAAAACTTATTTTAAGAGAGGATCTCGCGTTAATGTGAAAAACCACAGATGTGGATGTAACGCATCTTTATCTGGAAGATGAACTTTACCGATAAATGAAATTTCGAGACTTTTCGATTAGAAGAAGACCACAATTTCAAGGCTTCTGATGTAGAAAACCACTTTTTCGCAGTACTCCTGACGACCTGTTGCCGCTCTTGTAAGTCTCCTTAAAACCTTGAAGACCTTTGACAACATGTCTCTTCTTCCGTTTCACCAATGAGCTCCAAGAGTTTGGTAAGACTGAATGCGCATGCGCCAATCCGGGATGGACAAAAACACTGACCTTGGAATGCCAGTGGTATACTGGAACGAAGCTGATACAAGTAAAGAAATGTAGAGGATTCTTTATGAAGTAAGACAAGTGTTGAGTGTAGGAATAAGATCTTTTCTGTGAGGATCTCAAATATGGCTACAGTTTTTCCTGAAATGGAAGGTTAAAAATTTCATTGTAGTGAATCGGCGCGACAGCAGTTTGTTGTTTCAGCGGTTGGACTTAAAATTATGTGAGAAAAGTGAAAAATTTTTAGAATATTCATAAAAGGTACAAAGACAGCTTAAGTTAACCATTATGTTATAGACTGCAATACATGCAACATCAACTGAAGCCAAATCTAAAATGTAAAATCCAAAAAATATACCGAAAACCTCATTTGTTTTTGATAAGTTTATAACAAAAAAAGATACACATGATATGAAAATGATAACAATAGATTAAAACAAATTAAAAAATTAAAATAATAATTAAATTGCAAAACCACTGCGTCATAAGAAATTAACTTATACCGAGAAGAAAAGAGTACATTAATAATTTTCAAAGACAATTTCTACATAAAAGTAATCTATCAGAACTCAGAAAATTTGTATTCCCACACGAAAAAATAAATTATCCGTGGTACAAGCTGTTTGTTCGTAGTTTACATATGAATCACAAAACCCAAGGATAATTTCAAGAATGGTTTGGATTCCACTAAATATCTATATCCTTACCTACAAGACTCGAGATCTAGTATTTTCCGTTCTTTTCTATTCTTGATGAGTGAAGCAAACTTTTACCCTAAACTGATCTTGGATTCGTGTGCATTAGCGAAGCAACGAGCTCAAAACATTTCAGTCGTGATGTGATGTGTCACGGCCACACATCACGTCAATCACGAGATGAACAGAGATGAAATTAAACACTATCACTTCCTGTGGAATTCGTACCATTTTTGGACCGCAAATATTCCCAATAAACAAACTTAAACATTGAGACTCATCTTAATGACTCACGCGGAAGCCTAAAAATACTAACCAACTAAATATTTTACGGACAAAGTTCAAAGTTCAATAGAAAAAGTATGTCAAATGTTTGGGGCGCCGATCCAGTCAATATTCTCATCATTTATTTCGTGGCTCTCGCTCGGTCAAATGGACGCTCGCAATGCATCATAATTAGCATGTTAAAAATCCAAAGACCATAAATAAATTAGAGTTAGAATATTAAAAATCCTGCATTAGAATATATTAATTCGATTGCCAAAGATTAAACAAATGACCATAAAAGTAAATTCGGCTGCTTCAAAAGCAAATTCAGTCCCACCAAAAATTAAATATAATCACCATAAAAGCAAATTCAAAGACCACAATCAAAATACAATAAGCCATGAAATAAATGATGAGAATATTGACTGGGTCGGCGCCCCATATAAATGTGCTCCCTGCTTTTCGAAGTTATACTGGAAATATTTGGCGGTATGAGATTTCATCATATCACTGGCGACCTAGCCAGCTACTCGAATTAGTGAGACAAAGAAAATAAAACAAATAGGAAAAAGTAAAGCGAGAAATAGAGAGGAGAGGAAGCGAGGAAATAAGAAGCATTTAACTTCACTAAAACAGTTCACAAGCGATAAATGGAGAAATAAAGTCCGGGAAATTTCGAATTTTTATAAAGAGACAATTCTTTTAGGAACGCGAGATCTTTAACAAGGGACAATAAGAAATTGTGCTTTTAAGTAGAGAAATGTAAATGCTGTATAGGCCAGTTTTAATTCTGTATTTAAACTATTCAGCAAGCTGCAAGTAACAGAGGAAGGCCTAATCGCCAGTAAGAGTTCTTCCATTCATTGATAAACTACCAATTTGTTTTGGCTTTAACTTCGTTAAAAATCAGTTTTCAGGTTTCCATATTTCCTGGTGTTTCACCGACTGTGGCTGCCACTTTGAAACTTAAACCCTCAATGTTTGTTTGTGAGTTAATTCTATGTGCGTGACCAGAATTGCATAGCAAAATCCTAAACTAGTCTTACCCTTTTTCCCTTGTCAAAATTCCTTCATAGAGCAATGCTTGAACGAAAGGGGAGATCCGAATCTAAAGCCACAAATGTGACAGCAATAAAGACGTCTGACCAACCGTAATCACGAAAATAAGGAAACGAAATATTTTTCAAGATGTTTATAAATTCAGTTTTGTTTCACTTCTGTTTGGTTTCGAAAAGGTGAGTCACGTATGCAAAACAAATATATTTTGTGGGTTACCTTTGGCGAAGTCTATAACCACAGGGTATCCAAAACGTTTCTACTAGCGTTACCTTACCAGTTTCCTTTTAAGTTCAACTTAAAAGGAAAGAGGGGAAAGATAAAATGTATATATACTCACCTTGATTTTTTTCAGCTTTAGTAATGCTATTGAAAACAAGTTCCTTAAGCTGGCCAGGTGGCTAGGTTTTTTTCCGACTATCGATTGGATCATGTGATCTGGTGGATTTTACTGTTCCATAGCAGTATCTTCAGATACTGGTGTGGTCCTTCCCACAACGTAACAGTGTATTCCGGTCTTCGATCTGTTCAAAAGACAAACACAAAAAAAATTACATGTAAAAAGGCACATGAATATTTAAAAATAAATATTTTTGTTCAAATGTATTGCGGGCTAATAATATAAAACAACTCGGAATGACCTTCGTAACAGTGAAAGACAAAACCACTGAATACTATCTTAATATAAAGTTATATATTCTCAATGCATACTCTTTATCAGGTCGCAGTAGTTAAGTTATGGAATGAGATCTGTGACTGTTGTGATAATGAGGTAAACAGCGAGAAATAGGAAGATGAAGACCATCGCAACTAGGGAAGGGTGGGTGGGCAAAACTTGGCTCCCGAAGCTCCTTACGACGTTACGCAATAAGTCCAACAGTGAGAATATATATATTTTTACATTATAAAGATAAAAAGTTTCCTTACTTTGTTATTCCCACAAGTTTATTTTCTGTACTCTCTTTATCGCGGGAAACGTTCAAGTGTTTTTGGTTCTTGATCTGCTCCGAGAATACTTCATTTGCTTGCATTCTTTTATTCGTCACGGCTAGTATCCGTTGTAAGGGACACGTGTATTTTCCACTGTGGAACTTCCCCTGCGACAGAATTTTTTTTACCAACATCAGAAAAACAGACGGTGCAAAATTACAAACACTACACTGATCTTTTACTTCTTTGGGTTCGTGTGACGTCATAGCCGCCATGTTGGTTGACTTGAACGAAATATTTCGTCTTGAGAACTTCGTTACACCAAACAACATGGCGACCACTTCTTTTGCCCTTTATAATGAATTCTCATGGGCCGGGATGCATAGAGCTATAGTATAAAGCTCATACCCTTCACAGTTTCCTGTGCCATCTTGAAAGGTGACCGTGCCTGTGCATTGAAGCGAGAACAGCGGCGACCTGGCAATGATAGTAACCTTTTTAACACCTTTGGTCGCCTAGGTTACAACCATTCTCGCTTCGATGCAAAGGCACGGTTACCTTTCAAGATGGCGCAGGGGTCTATGAAGGGGTCTATTCAAAGCACTATTCTTTAAATTATTTTTCGCCTACCTTATAATTATACTTTTCTTTTTCGTTCCCAATTGGTTCAGACGACGAACGGCTTTTAGGGTCAACATTAAGCATCAATATACTTCCCAACCCTTTAGCATGCAATGATAAACGCTCCGATAAAGCTTGTGTAGTTAATCTACTCCTCTGTGCCTCGTTCCACATCGCACGCACCGTATCAAACGATAAATTTTCACTTGAATTTCTTCTTCGAATACTCGTTCTAAAATCCACACCTTTTCCTTCTTCTGCATTGAGCTGTTTTTCCAAACTCTGCCGCACAGAAAGACCTTCAAATTTACGAATCATTTTGACATACTCTGTGAAATTAATATCCTTCCTCGCGTTGCGAACAAGAGCGTAGTTTTCAAGGACATCAAAGTTGAATTTTATTCCATTAACAACCCCTGATTTATTCCCAGGTTCTGTGGCAGTCTTATTTTCCGTCATCACATCTAAGTTCTGTTTCTTACTAGTGTTGTTTCTCATTATAGAATTTGTTTGGTTTTTGTCCCCTCGACATTCCTGAGCGTCTACACCCTTTACTGACTCGTGACAAGTTTTATCGTTTGTCAACTTGGAAGCCATTTTGGATTTTTTGGCATTACTCTTGTTTTTCATCTCCAGGGAAGGAAGTACTGTTCTTGGCTTGGATCTACAATTCTTGGCTGTATTATTCATCGGTTGAATCATTCCTTGAGTAAAACAGACACTTGTCATGTTTACCGGTGCCTTCGGTGAAATGCTGTCAGATTTGTCAACTTTTCTAAAAACATCCCCAAACCGGTTATTTAATCTGTTTTCTCTACGATTCTTTAAATTCTTTTCGTATCTTAGAAGAGTAACGATGGGCGAGTCATTCGAGGTTGTGAAGGAATCTAGTTCTCGTGGAGTCAAGTCTTTTGAATGGAAGTCCCATTTGGTGTCGCACGGCGTGTCGTCAGCCGCAGGTCCTGATTGGCTCAATATCACGTGACCAACTGAGGAGGAAGTAGATTCAGAACTTTCCTCTGATAGGACGGTCACACTTTCACTTGACTTGCTCGACAATGTAGGTTCTCTATTTCTAAGGGGCTCATGAGCATTTTGATTTTGGTTTGTGGCCGAGTTAGGTGTGAGAATAATCTTTGTTCTCTCTTTTGCAAGGCGTTTTCTTCTTTCCAGCGATTCCACTAAAGCACATTTGTAGCGCCGATCTACAGAGAATATCAGGTACGATGTATTAATAAGCAAGAGAAAATTAACAAAGAGAAGGAATCCCCGCTCCCCATCATGATACGCAGTCTGAAATAGTCCCTTTCACAGTTACCTGCGCCATCTTGAAAGGTAGCCGTGCCTTTGCATCGGAGCGACACGAACGGTGAGCTTGCAATGATAGAGACATGTGAATAATTGTCCAAGGTGTTAAAAAGGGCTTTATCATTGCAAGCTCACCGTTCGACTCGCTTCGATGAAAAGGGACTGCTACCCTTTAAATGACGCCGGAAAAGGTACTATTGGAAAAACAGCGACTGATACTATAACCATGTATAATATACGTACATGTCCTTTCTTAAATCTGACCCTGAACTATTAAATGACTTTTTTCACTGGATTATCGAGTCAGGATTATGATAATGGTATCATTTATTGCAACGACCCAAAATAATTATTGGACCAAAACAAAAAACAAAAAAAACCCACCAAAATTCTCAAAACAGAATATTATTTTTCCTACCTGTTTTATCTTCGTCATCAGAATTATATTCATCAACAAACCACGATTCAATTCCTACAAGGAATAAGAATAAGAGCCGGATTATTGGTAATGACACAGGTAACCCAAGCCATGCTTCTTTGATGTTACTATGCAAGGTGATCCTGAAAACTTTAACAAATTTATAAGAATATAGAACAGATAAAGAGTTACCATGCTAAGGGTCAGGTATAAGGTTTAGCTACTTTATTTCACGTTTTTATGATATCAATGAAGATTTCGTGAATTGCCATTTGTAAAAGCTCTTTATTTGTACCTCTTATCATCTATTGCCTTTGGCTCCGAGGTTATTTGAAATAGGTATATGTAATATTCAAACGCCTCGATTCCCTGTTACGTTTCCTACCTAACTCCCCTCCCCCACAGACTTTATTTACCTATGTCATCTCGAAGAAGAGTCTCTTTATCCTGGCTCCAACCACAAAGACGTTCTTTCTTTTTTTCCTTTTCTTTCCTGTGCAGAACAAAATCTTAGTTAATGCGTTAATAAACCAAACAAGTCCTGAGAACGAAGTGAGGATGACAGAAAGTCAGGTTAAAACAAAATTTAATTTCTATTTAAATGAAAACAACTTCAACTAAATACTTAGTTTGTTTCTCACTAAAAAGGCGCCAAGGAATTACAGTAATCAGCAACTGTATTGTGACAGCCTCTGGCGATAAAATTAAAACTCTTAATAATTAATGCTTCTCAAACTCACAGCTAAGTAATTATTGATAATACAAACAGAAAACTCCACCAGATGTATTTCCTGTCTTTAACGAGTGTACTGTATGATTTCAAATTGTAAACTATTAAAAATTTGTTCATTTTTCTATTTTCAACATTTAAAAGCAATTTCCTAATTTCTCTCTCAGGGGATGATTAAGTAATCCTGGTAACCTGACAAAATATATCAAATTCGGATAGTTGCTATATACTTCATTTAAATTATCATCAAAAATAAAACAAATGTCCATGAAGAAAGGAATGTATTCTAGCAATTTATCTGTTGTTCTACGAAAGTAAGCAAAGGAAATGAAAACATGTACAATTTGTGAAATATCGTATAAGATATTTCGAGGATGATTGCATAAAGAAGTTAATGTTTCTTACCTTTGTGCCAGCAAACTCTGTTGCTTGCCGTTGGTTTTCATTTTGAAGGTTTTACCAAATCTTGAAAGTAAGTCAAGGCCTCTACGTCTTGCCTGCTTCCCCAGTGCAAAAATCTTTTACTTAATCGACCGGTTTTTGTAGAAAGAGTTAAATGAATGATTATCAAACTCGAACGGTTTCGAGTTGGACCAATTTAGACGTGTTGTTTGAATGTTTCCTGTTTCTATGGCGGTGTAAACTTGGCTAATGACTTTGTTTGTACTTCAGGTTTATTTGGATTAGCTGTCGTCTATTACTGAATATCATTTCCATGATTGGCGGCCATTGACAAGTCTTTCAGATCGTTTTTCCTTCAAACTTTATAGACCACGAGCTCAAGAAAACCTTGTTCTTCTGTTCACTCGCTCTTCATCAATGCCTTAACTCAGAATCGACCACAAGAAGTTTACACCAAAACACACAAAGAATTTGTCATTGTTTGATATTCTAAAGGATTAATGCCATTCGCCACATATAAATCCTAGAACAAACACCTCGCTTTCAAAGCTTCAGCAAACCACAATACAGATAATTAGTTCGCTTGTTTGGACTAACGACCGTATAATTACAATGTCTAATCTTACGACATTCAACCAGAGACATTCAACCATGAACTATAAACACACTCTCACATACCGGCATTCTATTTACTGTTTTTGTACATTTTTATCAAATCTTTTTTTGGTGTTTACGTGTTAAAGAGGTGTCAAAATTTCATGCTCGGGTAGTTTCGCATTACGCGTCTTTCGTTTGGATCGGAAAGCTATTAAAAATATATCTAGTTAAAAGGATTTAGATGGTGGGAATATTAGCCAATGGCGTACCTTCAGAGGGTAATCTGTGATTGAGGGGCTCAAATCGATCGCAAATTAGCCTTCAAAAAACGGGAGATTAGTTTTAGTACTAGTTTGCCTTCAGTTTTGTCGAGAGAAAAAGAAAAAGAACAAGAAGATAACCAATATATAGCTATATCTATATACACCAACTTGCAAGAACATTGACATACGAAAATAGAACATTAGTGATTTAGTGGGATAGGAATTATATTAAAAAACAAAAGAAGATAACTGAAGCTAAACTTTTTCTTTTGTCTTTGAATGTATTTCTTTCTCACTAAATTACTAATGTTCTATTTTCGTATGTCAACGTTCTTGCAAGTAGGTGTATATATATAAAACAACACAAATACAAAAAAACCGACTAACAAACAAATAGATAAACAAACAGACAAACAAATAACGAGCAAAGCATATCAAACTTTTACCAAATAAAAATTTCCGGTTCGCGTGGCCAACAACTTGCTCCATAACCATGTTTGGTAAGCTTACCTTATTTGTAAGTGAACAAATATTTCTTTGTGGTGATTTTTTCGCCATTTAAAGTTCTACATTGTCGATAATATGAAGCAAAACTTCCAGATGTTACAGCGAAGAAACACTTGAAATTGTCCACCATTTTGGATTTAGCTTAGAGACCTGGCCTTTGATAAAGGAAGCCCAAAACGTTCAAAACCACAGGGATTTCGCGCGAACGAAAATACAAGTTATGAAAAACGATAACAACAAAGGAAACAAAGGACAACAAAGGAAAAGAAAAAAAGACTGATAAACAAAACAACAACGACAAAAACAAGCCAAAAACAAATCAACTGAAAATGAATCATCATGTGATACGGCATCCTTATCAACTGAACAACGTACAACAAATATGAAAAACTGTGCAAATTCTACAAAGACACGGTTATCAAGCTTTCTATAATATTTATTATCACAAACGTAAAGCAAAGAAGAGTTAAAGAATTCAACAATTGAATTTTGTAGATGACTATCTACCATTATGGCGGAGTCCTCATCCGTAATCTTGTCACATGTCGATCTAAGCTAATGCAGGTTTTGATCTGCAATCATTTATCTTCATTATTTTGAATGCAAAAGCTATGAAATATTTTCAGTATTATGACACGAATTTACGAACACTGAAAAAAACTTTTTCTGACAAAAGCAGGCTGGTATTCAGCCTTCCTTAGAGATAAGTTGTGGAGGTCGAAGGGGGAGATGCCGGGGAGGTGAGGTAGAACGTTGCTCGATTTGTACAAGATTGGGTTGTCTTATATTTTCAGTTCCATACACGGCTCCCCATACCATTCCCAGTCTCTCTCCTATGCGCACAGCACAGCCATGCCATGAAGTATTGTTTGTGGATCACTCATCTTGCGCATCACCAGTCTAATCAAGCACTTGCCTTCTAGCACCATAATCATTGTCATCATCGCCATCATAGTTTTGCTTTTTTTGATCAGGTGACTCGTCTCGATAAAAGTCTCTCAAAGATCTCCTGAGCGTGAAGCTGCCACGTGGGTCTTCGTTGTCTTCGATGTGGCGAGGTTTCCTTTCACGGATCCTCCTCAGAGTAAAGTCTAGCTTGGTGGCTGCCGATGAATGAACTGTCGCGGTCTTTGACTCGTGTTCATACCCCTTCGCGGACACTGTGACTTCGTAAGAACCTGGTACCAAGAGGCGCCAGTAATCACCTTTGTTGCTGGTGAAGACGTCATGGGGTCGATTGGCGATGTTGATGCGGGCGTCTTTGATTGGTTTGTCATCCTCGTCTTGGATGATCCCGTGAATGCCTTTATTAGCCTGGAAAGAGAAAAATGTATGAATATATGTTATGTTTAGTACTTTTCACGTATTTCATAATCGCGACCATTCACTTGGTCATGGTATTTCTTTTTCTTGCTGGATTTTGTAAAAATTCATTGATATGGAAATGCTTTACACAAATTATTAAGTTTTACGATGCTCACGCACTGGACTCCACTAAATCTAAATTTCAATATTGAATTCATCAGTTTTAAATAATTAAAACAAATAAGAAACAAAGGGTGGGGTGGTTGGGTGTGACAGAATGACGTACCTGTTCCACAAAGCTCAACAACGCTTCTTTGTTTTCTCTCCAGTACTCCGGCAAAGCAGTAGCGTTGGGAAACTTTTCACAGCCGAGCTCCAAAGTGACTTCAAAACAATTAGAATGTACATAATTATAATCCTGCATTCCACCTGACAAGCTGAACCAATCAGCACCGTTTGTAATACCGTCTATAAAATGCTCTTTCTGCTTGTTTTTACACTTCCAGGGCGCATTCGCAAGGTGCATTGTGGGATGGGCCTGGCTGTACGCCCTTGCAACCTCCCGAAATACGTCATCATCAGGCGAAGCGCTGTAAGAAGTCTTCCCCGACGGATTATCATCATACGGATAGCTTGCCACTAGGGCACCAGCATGAAGACTGGCCGAGAGAACAAAGGGATTGGAACGAACCCATTTCATGACCGCATGGGTTTCAGGTTGCGGGGGTCCTGTGGTACTTGGGAAGAACTGGTCCGGGAAGTTCCTATTGAGATCAATGTCGTTTGCATTTTTGCTTCCCGCTTGATGATCGTCATCTGTGGCAGCCATTTCATATCCATCAGGGTTCATACTGGGTAAAATATGAATACGAGTCGCGTCTACGATATTTGTGACTCTCTTGTTGATACCGTAATTATGACACAAATACCGAATCAAGTGCAACAACATCTCTTTACCAATCACCTCGTTGCCATGGATATTCGCTACGTACTTCACCTCGGGTTCCTCAGCTTCGTGTTTTCCTGGATTATCAGAAATCTCCATGACCCAGAGTTTTCGGTTTTGTACAGATTTCCCGATGTCGTAAAGTCTTGCAATGTCCTGGTGCTTGCGAGCGAATTCCTTCAGAAGCCATGTCATTTCTTCGTAGTTGTGATGCCGAAAACTTGAATTTTTCTCATGTATTTCTTCCACTTTAATCTTCGGGACGACTTTAGTTGGAATTTCCTTCGCCGCCTTCTGTTCGTGGACGACATGTTTCTGTTGTTTTACGGCAGTCACTTTTTGCTTGACAGCTCTCACTTTGGCTTTTAATTCTGGCTTTACAGGAGCCAAGTGCTGTATCGGAGATTTCGTTGGAGATTTTTTCACTACTTTAGCTGAGCTCTTCTTTGAAAGCGACGCAGGTGGCTTAGCAAAAGTCGTTAGTGCGTGAACACAAAGGACCAAGGCTAGAACCTTGAGGCACCTCATATTCACTCCGAATGCTTTAGACCTTTGTGGTAAATAAAACGTAAACAGAAAGATTTAGGTTTTTAGGTCAACTATCACAGGAAGCCAAAATCAGTGATGATACCAGTCAACCCCACCCTAATGAGCAATCTACGACAAGAGCTTTAAATATCAGATCCCTCTCCATCAAGATAACCTGTATTCTATTTTAACCCTGACAAAAATCCACGGTCACGCCCTAAATTTCACGAGATTTGATATCATGAGCCCGTTGTTTATATTCTGATTAGTGTGCTACTCCAAATTTGATTACTAAGGTATTCTAGGTCTTGATTCAAGATTTAACCCTGAAATTAGCAGTAATCTTATTTAACCCTGAAATTAGCAGTAATCTTATTTTTCCCATTAAGGTCAGTCATTAAATTGGACAGGTAGTAAAATTTTTCTTCGGGACGAAGATATTGAAACTAAAAGCGATATCTTTGAAGCGAATGGCGTTTTTCGAAAACACAATGACACGACCTCTTGTACGTTTCTTCCCTCGAATTATCTCGATTCAAGTTTCCTCAAATGACCAAAAATATAATATGAAAACTTAAATAACAGTCCTAAAAATTGTCACATGTAAATTTCAAATCTCGTTTAGTGATAAAGTGTAAATTTACAGTATATCATTAGTCGACTTTGATATTCGATCAAGCGAATACTCTCTCGATGCTTAACTGCCCAAATATTATAATACCTGTCTACACACGACGATGATTGGTTGCCTAGCTCACTGGACCAACAGGTGCTCTGTTAAACAATCCTCTCCTTAATGGAACAGTACGTAAACAAGCAAGCAAAACAATGCCTTATTATTTTTCCTAATTCAATAAACAACCAATTATTTTATCATTAAAAAAAAACACCTTTGATTGAGTGCTTTCTTGCCTCTAATTTTGCAGTCTGAATTCGAATTTTTCCAAACCAATTCTCCTCAGCCATCTTGGAAAATTGTTTTTGAAAAAAAAGTACGTTTATTTTTTTATAACTTCGACTTCTTATGAATCCTCTTTTGGCAAAACGTTGATATTGTATCGGCAGTGAGGTAGGAAACACAAGAGTTATATTTTCGATGCATTTTACAATCGCAATATTATCCGTTTCAAGCCGACCAAAAAAATGCAGCGGTTAGAGTCCTTTCTTGCCTAACCTTCAACCCTTTTAGGTCTAGCGATTACTCGACATTCTAAGTTAATGAGAAACTCTATTCAGTATTTTAAATCATGTTGCCTCTCATTTTACTTGCTTGTTTTATTGTAGTATGTTTTCCTCTTGTATTTTGTTCGTGTGTATTTTGTTGTCAAGTGATGTGTTTGTGCTGTTGCTAATTTTTTCCCTAAAACTTCATTTTCTAGTCAGCTGGTAGTAGGCAAAGTTATTCTTGAGAAGGATTAAAACGTCAATAACTAGATAGATGAATATTTGGAATTCAGACACGTTTTGCATTAAAACGGTTTTCGAGTATTTTTTTTTTCAAAAATGTTTTATTACGAGGTTTTTAACAAAGTGGATAAAGAAGTTGTCATTTTAATTAACCTTTTGAAATAAAAAGCGTCGGGAAAAGAATCGGTACAGGAACCGCAATAAAACAAATCTTAAAAGTAAGTCAATCATTTTAAATTCAATTCGCAAAGTGAAGAGGAGTTCTGTAGCTGATAAAAATGATCGTCAATACATAACGTTAAAGATTATGTGAAGAAACTTGGACTTTTAATTTCGTATAAGACTTCTGGTCTCCATGACAGAGAACCTGTTGAGTTGTTTATCAGAAATGGAAAGATTGTGACCGCGTCGCACGAGTGACATGAAGCAGGTGGCTAGATTTGGTTGATGCTATAATTAGCCGTAAAATATCACGATCGCAGCACAGTGACACACCTTGCTTGCCTCAACTAAATGATGTCTTTAAATACCAATGAACGCAGACCAAATTTGAAGACAGAGGTAAAGATAGCGTTGGTTTTCTCAGCGTCATCTCGTAAAATAATCAGCTGTTTACTCCGAGGAAGAATCGTAAGGAGTTGCTCCACAAAAGTGTGCTTCTTGGTTTTGCAGAAGCAAGCTCGCTATGAGGACTTGGTTAATTTTCAGCGGATTCATTGGCATCCTTTTTCAATGTTCACAAGCAATTTCTCTTGAAAAACTGTTCCAACCTGAACCAAGAGAGGAGGGTAATGCTACAGTTAGTTCGAATAGCACGATTGAGAAAATTGTTACCGATCTCTTGGACATCGACAAGTTAAAACATCATAATTATGAAGAAATGACATGGTTTCTAAAGTACTTCGCTAAAAAGTACCCAGACATTACTCGCTTGTATTCCATCGGTTACAGCGTACAAAATCGCAAGCTTCTAGTGATGGAAATCACGAACAACCCCGGAAGGCACGAACCAGGCGAACCTGAGGTTAAATACATCGGAAATGTTCACGGTAATGAAGTGGTTGGGAAAGAACTTCTCCTCCAGTTAATAAAATACCTATGTGAAAATTACCAGAAAGACGTGGAGATCAAAAAGCTTATTGACACTACGAGGATACATATTCTCCCGAGCATGAACCCTGATGGGTATGAGGTTGCATACGTCCGAGGGCGGGGCCATAACTTTATTGGCCGCAGGAACGCACATGGCGTGGACTTAAACCGTAATTTCCCCGACCAATTCTTCCCGAATACCAACGGTCCGCCTCAACCGGAGACTCGCGCGATTATGAGATGGATTAAGAGGTATCCATTCGTGATGTCTACGAGTTTACATAGCGGGGCTTTGGTTGCTATCTACCCGTATGATGATTCCCCGTCCGGGCAAACCCTGTATAGCGCTACCCCAGATGATGACGTGTTCAGACACTTAGCTAAGACGTACTCCCTGGCACATCCCGTCATGCATCTGGCGAACCCAAAGTGGAACTGTACGAACGTGAAAGAGGAGAATTTCATAGATGGCATAACGAACGGAGCGAGTTGGTTTAGTATATCTGGCGGCATGCAGGACTATAACTATATTCATTCTAACACGTTTGAGATCACTGTGGAAGTCAGCTGTGAAAGGTTTCCCAAACCTGAAAAACTCGGAAAATATTGGGACGATAACCGAAGAGCGCTGGTGAAGCTGATAGAACAGGTACATCAGTGGGTGGTTTGAAATATTCGTTAAAGTAAAAAAAAATCTTGTATGTGGAAATGTTGCACTGATGGGCAGATCATTAGGGATGGTACAAGCATGCGTACAGACCATGTGCCGTTAGTCATGCTATAGTGGTACTCATTCGTTTCTTTCGTCCTTGCCTCTTTCCTTCAATCATTCATTTATTCCATCCATTGATTCTATTCATCCATTTATCCTATTCATCCATTGATTCTATTCATCTATTTATCCTATTCATCCATTTATTCTATTCATCCATTTATCCTATTCANTTCATCCATTTATCCTATTCATCCATTGATTCTATTCATCTATTTATCCTATTCATCCATTTATTCTATTCATCCATTTATCCTATTCATCCATTTATTCTATTCATCCATTTATTCTATTCATCCATTTATCCTATTCATCCATTGATTCTATTCATCCATTTATCCCATTCATCCATTTATTCTATTCATCCATTTATTCTATTCATCCATTTATTCTATTCATCCATTTATCCTATTCATCCATTTATTCTATTCATCAATTTATCCTATTCATCCATTTATTCTATTCATCCATTTGTTCCATCTATCGATTCGAAAATTTATTCCACAGCTTATTCTGGTTCATTTTCTCATAGCTAGTAATTATACAGAACAGAATATCACCCATGTTTAGTTGCAGAACAATAAATATTGATATTTCCTCGATCTAAGAGTCAAATTATTTCTGATAAATTTTGTTTCTGCCCCCAACATGTGTCCCGACACGAGGTCATCATTTCATTGACAATTTGCTAACACATTAAATTGATTTACTCACCCGTTCTAGGTTCATCATGGAATCCACGGGTTCGTCAAAAGCACCAAAGGCCAGCCAATCAAAAACGCGGTCATTCGGATCTCAGACCGCCGTCACGAAGTCTCAACCGCCAAGGACGGGGATTACTGGAGACTACTCGTACCAGGTTCCTATGATGTAACTGCCTCGGCCAAGGGGTTTGAGCCTCAGACTAAGTCAGTGGAAATCAAGAACGGAGAAACAGAAAAGTATGTTAATTTCACTCTCAGGTCGAGTGACGAGCTACGGCCTAAGTTCATGAATGGACAAGAGGATTTTATCTCAAGAGTGATGGTGAGTGTCGGTCCGTCCGTAGGTTTAGAGTCTGTCTGTCTGTCCGTCCATTTCTGAGAGTCTGCCTGTCATATTTTTGTCCTCACCAACTGTTGTTTGTCTTGTATATTTTTCACGCCGTGTGTCTGTCCATCAGCTAGTGCACTTTTGTTTACCGCTGTCTGTCTGCTTTCTTTGGCCTTTCTTTCTCTCTATATTTTGTCTGTCTGACCGTTCGTCTGTCTGTCAGTCTTTATGGATTTTCTAGTGCGAAGCTTAATTTCTCGTTCAAAATGCCTGATATAATATTCGCTTACTTGATCCCTTATTGTCTGTCAGGGAGGAGAGGACTTCCTTATCGATGCTACACCAGATCCCAGAGAACACGTGCTCAACATTCATCATGGAGACAGGGATGATCACTCCAACCAAAGGTAAGACTGATGTCAGGCATATCATCCCCGAAAGGGGAGGCTGTCCATAGTTGGGGCTCTAGTGCCAGGCTTATTTCTAATCATCCGATCACCATCACCATCACAAACATCATCATCATCATCACCAACATCATCATCATCATCGAATCACCATCATCATAACCAACATCACTGTCATCATAACCAACATCACTGTCATCATAACCAACATCAGTCATCATAACCAACATCACTGTCATCATAACCAANATAACCAACATCACTGTCATCATAACCAACATCAGTCATCATAACCAACATCACTGTCATCATAACCAACATCACTGTCATCATAACCAACATCACCATCATCATCACAAACATCATCATCCAATCACCATCATCAAAATCAACATCACTATCAAGTTAGCCAACATCACCATCATCATCACAAACATAATCATCATCCGATCATCATCATGATCACCACCACCACCATCATTATTTTTAACACAAGCTATTTATAAGTTTTTACATTTCATATCACTAAATATAATTCCATTTCAAACTAGAGGGGTCATGAGTGATATGGCAGATAATCTTAGTGGACAGTCATCTCTCGACGAAGGCGACAAGACGTTCAAAGAGTTAGAACAATCTGGCGACGTTAGTGGGGAGGATGTTTACAAACAAAAGAAACAGGATTCATCTGGTCTGCTGATGCCAAACGATAGGCTTGCTCAAGCGCTTGAGCCCGCATTTCCCTCAACCAGCAATCCAGCAGTCAACGCTCCAGAACAAGGGGCTACAGACAGTTACGAGAAAAGAAGAATGATGGCCTTCGGGGAGGATCAAACACTACCCACGACAACCCCCACAACGCTTCCAACAACACTCAATACATCCCCCACAACAACCCCAACAACATACCAGACTACTTATCCCACTACTACCCCAACAACCAGAAAAATGAAAAAATCAGCCAAGCACAAACAAGATGATCTTGTCAAGCCGGACAAGCGGTTCATTCATGTGATTGGTTCGCGGGTGTCATGTAGGATAGCCAAACAAAAGATTACAAAGTTTGGCACCTTGAGGTGGGTGGGGTACTTACCCAACTCCCCACACGGCAACTCGTACTTGATTGCCGGAGTGGAGTTAGCGAAGCCGGATAGGCTGGGCACGAATGGATCGTATCAAGGCATGAGGTACTTCAAGGCATTACCAGAACGAGGCTACTTCTTCCACCTCAAGCAGTGCAAGCTGATCAAGAAAGTCCATGGATAAGATTCTCTTTCTACACACATGCGCGAAAACAAAGACTGCCATTGGTTAGATTCCAAGCTCAATAATCACATAGTTTTGCTATTCGTTGAAATGAATAATACCTTAACGATGACCTAATAAGGTTACTACCGTTGTCATGGCGATAGGTTGATAATATTATAATATTAATAAATTTTGTTCAATAAATATTATTTATCACTTGGAAATTTTGACGAGATTATTGAACTAAACTAATAAGCCTTTTTATTGACCTTTTTATTGACACGGCGGCCATCTTGAATTTTTATTGACACGGCGGCCATCTTGAATTATAGAATGCCGAGGGGACAAACAGAGAAATTTAGAAAACATAGAGTGACTCGGATTCAAATAAGTTAGAATCTTCTTGTTTCACTTATTGTTCCAACTGTTCAATTGCAAATTCAATTGCTTTTTAGATGTGCTTCTTATTGAAAAGCATAAAGCTATATGAAAATACGCCCTGACACCTGTGCAGTGTATACATTTCCCAATAGTTGCCCCTTTGGCATCCCATGTCTAAATTAAAAATTCAAGATGTCCGCCGTAATCGGTAAAAAGGCCAAGTTTTAAATAGAATCATTTTTGGCTAAAAGTACGTGGTGGTCAGTGTTTGACAACCATTTGTGGTGAGATACGAAGACTTTTATCACTTTTTAAGACTTTTACCAGAATGAGACCCAGCAATTCAATGATATTCTAGGAGTGCAACCACAGGGTTAAAATCTCTTGAGAAATAAATAATAAAACAGCCACTATCTCGGTTGATCTAACAAGAGAAGCTAATGAGGAGTGGTTTGTTATCTTCAACCAACATGGTGGCTATGACGTAACATACACCCCAAGAATACAAACACCAACATAGCTACACAAATATACTGATAGACACATGTTTGAAAACACTCATTATTTATTCTAAATAATATTCTATCTGGCTAAATGTACAAGTATTAATTAGAGCCAGAGAGTCGCTAACGTTATGTACAACACGTCACTTTAACTGCACTCAATAAACAGTCAGGCATTATTTGCAAATTCCTTCATTTAACCAACAGAAGCAACAAAAGCAGGGGACTATACTAAGAGACCTAGAGCATATGGAGGAGGGTGGGGTGAGGCTCCATTTTTGCTTTACACCCCTTCCCAAGATGTCTTGGGTCTTTGCGATAACCGGGGCGGTTAATTTGCAGTTAAAATGCTTTAAAAGCCTTACAAGAGAGATTATCAGTATCTACAACGACACTATATAGAGAAAATCAATTCGATTACCAATTTTTCGCAATTTGATTCATAACTTTCAAACAAACGTAAATTTCTTCGCCCGGTTTCCCGCTTTTTCTTTTCATTTTGTCAATTGAAGTAATCCATACCTAGGGGTCGTAGTTTTACCATGTCTAACTAATCTAATATTTTGAATATCTCTTTCGATATATACATTTTTCATTCTGTTTAGTTATTAAATCCAACGCATGTGTAAGTAGTCTTGAGCTGCTGACCAGTCAGCACGGCAGACGTGTTACTCAAAATGTCGTTCATCAGAAAAACAAATCCCTTGTAACAAGTGCTTGGGTCTTATAACAACGCTCTATACGAGCTGTGCTTCAGTTCATATCTCATAAATAAACTCAGGTGATCCTGAGACGTAAGGATGAGTGACCAACCTTTTTCCAAGTGCTTTCGTCCAAAAATAGCTATCACGAGATAGGTCACATGACCAGAGTCTTCTTATCCACTACCATATGATCATGTATTGTTGCGAGTCTCACTCGTGTTCTAAAAATAGCAATCAAGTGATAGGTCACATGACCAGAGTCTTCTTATCATTACCACATGATCATGTATTGTTGCGAGTCTCACTCATGTTCTAAAAATAGCAATCACGTGATATGTCACATGACCAGCGTCTTCTTAGTATAATCCATATTACAGTTTTCTATCCGTGATCATGTATTGATACGAGTCTTACTCATGTTCTAAAAATAGCCATCACGTGATTTGTCACATGACCAGCATCCATATTGAAGTTTTCTATCCATGTTCTAAAAATGGCCATCACGTAATTTATCACTTGTGTCTTCTTTGTCAGCTCCAACACTGTGTCAGCATTCTTCAAATCACGTGACCATGATACTGAGACTTACTCATGTTCTAAAAATAGCCACCACGTGACAAGACCTTCTTTTGTAATCTAATATAGTTTCAATATTTCATATTCATTGCTACTATTATTGTGCACTGGAGTGTAAACTATAGGCGCCAGGCGGTAGTGAGATAGATCGCTTTTTCTCATGCTCTATGATGTCATCGTAAGTATCGACTGATGTTTCCACGTGACCCACAATACCTCGTACTGAGCCTCTTTGAGGACTGATTATCAATTCACCTGTCAAGGAAATAGAAAAGGGATATTGACTAAGGCAGAAAAGAATATTATATTAATTATAATTTTGGAGTGGAGTGGAGTGGAGTGGAGTGGAGTGGAGTGGAGTGGGTGTCTCTGCGGGGTTGGATATAAAATGGCGGCAATGGTAAGCTCTGTTCACACGGAAGATTTTTATGGCGACTTCACGGCGACAGAAAATCGCGCATGTGAACGGGCCTTTCAGTTTCACATCACAAAAGACCGAGAATACGCGACATGGCATAAGGTTACAACAGCCACGAGAATAAAAGAATTGAGAATAGTAAGTTATATTTGAAGCTTACCGTATTTATCTGGGTCCAGGTCTGATATTCTCAGTAATCTAGATCTTCTTGGCGCGCTTTGAGAATCTGTACTCAAAGACTCTGACGACGTGGACGAAAAACTGATCAAACTTTTGCCACTAAATCTATTATCTTTACCCAGCGAGCTGGCTGATTTTGTCCTTCGTAGACACATAGGAGTGTACATTTTAGGTGCTTCTGGAGCATGCGATGCTGTTCTCTTGAGATTTATTTTCACTGGTGATTTATTTTCGACGCTTAAAGCTCCTATTGAATTACCCCCGTTAAACCGAGGAATCCTAAACAGCTTCGGAGTAGACTGGTTGGAATTGATCGTACCACGTGACCCGTGTTTACTTGGATCACGTGACCTCGATGTGTCATGTGACCGTATGCTTCCAGATCTAGACTCAGGTCTACTCATCAATTCGATTTCCTCGTGTGATTGGTCCAAGTCAATACATTGGCTTCCTAAGGCATTTTGATAGTCACGTGGTGGTTCGATTGTTACGGTCACGTGGGTAAGTAGCTTGACCGCTGACTCGTCTTCCTCGCTGTTAACGTAATTGGGATTGTCACTGCTCATTTCACTAGGCTTGTAGACATCTCGAATCGGCAACTGAAAAATAATAAGGTTTTAGTATATATATATATATATCCCTTCTGTTGATATCTGTCTTAATGAGTCTGTCTTTCCGTCATGAGTGACTCCGTACATATGCAAATATGGGGTAAAAATCAAAATGGAGGTTTCTTACAGCTCAGTAACCAGTGCTATAAATACAGTACGCACCTTGACGTCAGCAGTGTTCATCCGGGGTCTTAATTTATCCTTTTGTAATGTATTTCCCTACACAAGAAAAAAAGTTAGAATAGTCTTTCAGAATATCGAGCTTAGTCAATCTTTTCTACTCCTTCCTTTGAGTACTAATTCTCTTATTCACGTAAGCCTTTTTAAAAATACAATGAATTGCGTGACAAGACGTGACAAATTCTTTCAACGTGACATACCTTAGCGGGTTCTGTCTTGGCTCTAGGTCTCATTGTATCCAGGTGTGTTTTCGTCTTGGGATCGTACGATTCTGTATACATAGTCTTCTTGTTTAGACTTTGCAAGTCACAACGTAACAGCGCACGCCAACAGTCACGCACATTCTTTTGTGTCACACAATAAAACATGAATATCGAAAACCCTTGAAGACAGTTTAGAACCGCGAACAGATAAGTGAAGACCAATCTCATTGAACTTATGGCAAAAAACCCAAACATCCAAGTCAATCCGACGAGGATTAAGATACCAAAGGCACGGCGAAGCTGAAGAATGCCTTCACGCCCACGATCCTTGTCAGCGGAACGCGCTGGTGGACGCACGCTCAGTTTGTACATAATTATACCAAAGATTATGGTGTTGAAAAAAATGATCGAGACTACGGGTGCCAGGAAGGCCAGGAAGAAAGGAAGGTCTTTCAAGCGGCAGCTGTGGATTACATGTCGAAGGGTTATGATCAAAGTCAAATATAAAACAACCAGGAATCGACGGGTTGTTCTTCACCTTGGTATGGGGCTAATGTTTTCCCATTTCAGGCCACATGTCATTCCCTAAACTATTATTTCTTTCTTTAACAGTTGTGAATGAGAAGATACATGAATCGTATTCTCAAGGGGATGGCATGTGGTGTGAAATGGGAAAAACATTACGCCCAAGGTAAAGAGGTCTATTGAATCCCAGAGAAATAAAAAATTAGATGCGATTTTGTTAGGCAGCATTGCAAAGCAAACATCATTTGTTATGGGTAAAGAACACACACGCCTGATATACAACTCTTCTGTGTCAGACAGATGAGATGCATTGTGGTCTAGCTTGGGTCAAAAGACGTTTGTAAAGCTATTATTATTTTAATTGTAAATTAAAAGGCTAAAAATAGACAAATTAAGGAGGCTGAGCAGGATGAAATGATTTGCAGTTAGTTGCAGTTGGGTAAACCAGTAACAAGAATGTGGGATATATTTGAGCCGAATGATAATAATTTCGACTTTTAGATTAACCGGCGGAATCAGAAGATTCCATTGTCATGCATAGTAAAGTTAAGTGTCTGTACTTACTAATGCTGTCCACCGTAGCTCTCTTTGTCCACCACAATAGTAACGATCACAGCAACAGCAGGCAAACCTGAAAAAATGACAAACACTAACATTAAAACTACATCCTACAAAACCCTTTAAATATTATTGATAACCTGAAACGACCTCTGGGCTGATCTAAGTCAGGGCACAGCTAACTTACAGATCAAACCCTGAAACAACCTCTGGGCTGATCGAAGTCATGGCATGGCTAACTCACGGATTGAACCCTGGAACAACCTTTGGGCTGATTTAAGTTAGGCCATGGCTAACTCACAGATTGAACCCTGAAACAACCTTTTAGCTAGGGAAGGTCTTTACAGAAATCCAAGAAAATGATAGGTCTTGGATTTGTAAGGACTGATTCTGAATGTATTGCTTGACTCACCCCATGCTATAGAGGCACACTTCCACAGTATATAATCTCCATGATCGTTCCAGACTTTAACGAATGCGTAATACATAAAATATGCCTCGAAGAAAAACCACATGAAAGCGACCAGTAGAAAATAATGAATAAGTACAGCGACAATCTGACAGCTGAGCTTGGATGTGACGCCCTTTTCTATCCCTGCTACAAACACAATGAGAACAGAGAGAAGTGCTATGCACAGATGAAGGAGGATCTTGGCCGCGATGTCTTTACGGAGTTTACTGTAGAAGAATTGTAAAAGAGTACATCAGTTACGAGAAGACTAAGTGAAAATAATCGCTGATTCAAATAAAACTGAAGGTAGTGACAACGAAAACGAAATTATATAGAACGAAAACGAAA